CTTTCAAATGCAATTTTTGAATGCAATATTTGAATGTGTTTGGATAGTAGATTACTTGGAATAATTTTAAAAAAATTATTATAATATTTTTTTGATGTGATATATTTAAAATAAAAAAAGTAATTAGAAATGTATTGATAATATAAGTAAATAAATTATTCAAAATAATTTACAATCCAAAAAAAGAAAACTTTTTTATTTTTCTAATGGAAGTGACATCTTGTTTTCAAATTAGCCAACTATCTTTTTCTCTGAACTACAGTTTTCCTACATTTCAGATCTTCTTTCTACAAAGTCTTCTAATAGCTTTTTTCCTCTACGGGAAGGAGATCACGGTGCCAAGCGAAGGTCTCTTTTCCTATGTTTTTACTAGTAAGAGAGTTGTTCCCTTTCTTAGTGTTTTTTCAGTGAGTAGTTTTTTTTCTCTCCAAAGACAAACTGATTGGGGGGGGGGGGGGGGGGTTTGTGGGTTTTGTTTAGATTTTTGTCTTTTCTTTATTATTATTTTTGTCTTTTTCTTTATTAGATTTAAGAATTTTTTAAGTTCTCCATATTAGATATGGGATTATATATATATATAGCCTTGACACTCCTTAGTGATATTTTATTTAGTAAATTAACGTTAGAGAGTCTAATTTAAGAGTGCGAATATCACTTTTCCTTTTTCTAAATGTGAATGATCATTTCTATTTTCTCGGCGCATCAACTCTTCCTGTCAAGTCGAATAAATCACATTTCATTTTTCTGTTCAATTTTATGAACCAACAATTTTTTTTTTTTTTTAAAAAGAACCCTAATAGCCATTCAATTAGAGTTAAAAAATTAGATGGATGGAAAATTAAAAAAAAAAAACTAAAATCAATTATCAAAAGTTCAAATTCTTCCCCTGTGAGAGTTTCACCAATGTGAGTGGGATTATCTGGACATCACTTTTCTGAGAAGACTTGATGATTTAATTCAACCACCATTATTATTATTATTATTAACATGTTTAACATGGATCATCAATCTTCTCAAAAGTTCCATCGACAGCAACTTCTACGACCAATTATTCTTCCACGTATCTCCCATACAGACAACAAACAAGAGGCAAGACACCCCACCAATCACAAATCCACACCTCCCATGCGCCAACCTTTCTATCGACGTGGACTCTACAGTGACGACCAAGCCTTGGATAGCTAAAGATTCCTTGGAGACCCAAAAAAGAAAAGAAAAAAAAAAAAAAAGGAAGAAGAAGAACATTCACTTCTGAATCAACCCAGATTCTATATTCTTGTTCCAAGAAAATGGCCTTGGCTAGGCCGGTTTTTTGTGAGTTGAAGTCCCAGAATCCGGTTGTGGAGAAGAGTAGTAGCCTGGGGTTGAATTTGCAGGTTCAGAAGGCTAGAGTTCCTGCTGAGGTTACACAAACCAGTGGAGAAAATGGTGGTAGTAGTACTAGTAGTAGCAGTGCTAAGATTGTGTTGCAGCCAAGACTCTGTACTCTGAGGACTTATGGGTCTGATCGTGTTGGGGTGATGAAAACTAAGGGCGTGAACGGGGAAGATGATCAGATGCCTCGGTTTTTTGCTACTTTGTCTGAGTATATTGAGAGCTCGAAGAAGAGTCATGACTTTGAGATCATCTCTGGTCGTCTTGCCATGGTAAAATTCGACTTTTCTGCTTCATGGTACTAAGACCATATATGCCTTTGTCTCTTTTTTCTCCCATTCTCCATGCTATTGAGATAGATAATATAAATGGTGCAAAACTGTTCATTTTTGTTTTGGAGATTTGACGCAAGCGATTGATTGGTCAAGCGAACACTTAGTATAGCTGGGGAAGAGTTTCTCATAAATTGTCACACAATAGTAGAATCAATTCATGGAGGAGAGATCATCTTCCTGTTTAAATTTTGTGCTGTGGGGATTGAGAATTGGAGAGAGTTTAAGAAACTGGAAAATCCCATAGTTTAACAGTAGTGAATATTAGTCGTTTATTATTTTAGTGTCTACACTTTCTCGTGCTATTTATTGGCATCGAAAATTGTTAATGTCTCGGATCGAAAATTGTTCTATGGCATGATCTTACCTTATAGAAAAAGGAGACAAGATAAAATAATGCACTCAAAGATGAAAAAGAACAGAGGACTTTACATGTAAGTGGAAGCAATTTGGTTGCAGTGATGATTGATGAGTTGCAGTTTTATATGCTGATTGAGGAGGTGATCACTTGATAACAGAAAAAGGTGGATTTTGACTCCAGTAAACGTAGATTGTCATTTGTTCATCAAATCTAATATGGTGTATGTTTATAAATACACTTGGTAACATGACTAGCTAATATCATTTCTCCATTTGTTATTTATTTGGATATGCACGAGCAGGCCTAAAATCACTTTTAACTCCCTCACAAAATTAATCACATAAATCATCTGTAAAGTTTCTTGATTCATTCCTCATAGTCTGAAGTATTAGTTTCATCCCTTCTCTATCTTCCAGGTTGTGTTTGCAGCCACGGTTGGCACAGAGGTAGTGACAGGCAATTCCATATTCAGAAAGATGGATTTACAAGGCATTGCAGGAACTGCAGGGTTTTGTGTGGCAGCTGTAACTTGTGCTGCAGTTTTCGCCTGGTTTTCCAGTGCTCGCAATAGAGTGGGTCGAATCTTTACAGTCAGTTGCAACACGTTTATCGAATCACTGATCGATCAAATCATCGATGGCTTGTTTTATGATAATAATGATTTCGACGATTGGTCTGATGACATCTGAGAAATACGGCAGGAAGATTTAGTCATCATCTATCAGCACTCAGAAGCAATGTGCAGCAACTTTGGTTTCTGCAGTCTGAATCTTCCATTTAGCAGTCTACAGAAAATTAGAAATGGTCTAAATGACAACTCGTTATACTCAAAGAAGATTGTAAATTAGTGATCATGGCTGTGTAAAGCATAGTTAATACAGAGAGAAGGATTAGGCAAAAGCATATATACATATACATGTGTATATATATGTGTGTGTGTGTGAGATCAACTCATCTTTGTCCTGAGGGATCATGGTTCATTAATCATATTATCTATGATTAACTAACTGAAAGGATCCAGGACTTTAATAAGGTTAAGCTGTAAGAATTCAACAAGTCTGTAGTCAGTCTGAAGAGCTTCTTGATTATCTCTTATTTGGCTGAAGAGCACAAGGGGTTGAAGCCTTGAAGGTTCCTATTTCCAACAGTATTTGGTCAATTTCCATGTGTGATGCAGAAAAACAAGATGCTTGATAGAACCTTTGGTTATACTAATTGGTAAATCATGATTGGCAAATACAACTTCTTGGTAATTTGCACTAGAGATGGTTTTGATGTTTTTGCACTGAGAATGTGAATGAAATTCTTACTAAATCTATTGTTTCCATTGATATGCAATCAATTTCAGGTACATATATTGACTAAATCAGTGAATTGAAAAGGGCTATGAAGCATCAAAAACATGATAAAATTTCGGCTAAAAATAGATCATAGAGGCTTTTAGCATGACTTTTTTGACAAATGTAACATAGGCTGGATAACAATCCTCAAGTTTCTTTGAAAAGTATATACTATAAGGATTAATCTTCTGTACACTGACATGATATATATTTTTATTATTAAATGTATGACACATAATTCAAATTTAAATTTAAAACTCAAATTTTGCATATGTATCGTTTATCCAGCCGTGATTATGTATACACCGTCAGTGTATATAAGATTTATTTATACTACAAACGTGTAACATTTTCAAGAAAAATATGAAAACGTGGGGGGAAGTAAGAAAGAAGTTGCCAAACAAAAATGCCTGTAATATTAACTATTGAGGTAAGAAAAATTCCACCTTTTTTGTTCGTTTCCCTGCAACAATCAGCAATCAGGTCAAAAATAATCATTGAGGGGGGAAAGAAAATCGTTTACGAAAATTCATAGGTAATTTGTGAATTGTGATCGATATTTCGATACAATAGTAAGAAAATGACAAGATTATCCCTCTCCAGGCAATTTGTGAATTGTGATGGTAGTTGATTTGACTTGTTTTATGGCAGTTTTGCTATCATATCAGTGGTAAAATTTATGGTGACAATAATAAAACTTGAGACTTGATAATTATGCGAGCCTACATAAATTTTAATTGTCTCGCGCGCAATTAAAACAAAAACATTATAATTTTACACAACAACAAGTCAAGTCACTTTCTTCTTTGCTTTTTTGTTCAAATTAAGTAGAAAACAAATTTGGAATTGGATTTAATATAGTAAAATTGAATAACAAAATTTTGAATTTTTTCCAGTATGGAATTTAGTAAAAATCAAGAACCCGTTTGAATTGCTATTTTTGTGAGTTTTTTTTTTTTGTTGTAAGGAAATGTACTATAGTGATTTGATTAACGTTAACGTGAGATAAAAATTGACAGTTATAAAATGTGTTCATAAAAAATATAAAAATGCTTCTGCAAAAAACTCTAATCTAAAGAAGGGCCAAATTTAGATGGTAATTTAGCAACTTGTCTTTAGGCACTGTTAGCATTGATGGAATGGGAGGGAAAAGAAAGTAGAGGTATTGGAAGGATTTGGTTTTTATTATTTGGATTTATTTTTGAGAAAGGAAAGGAAAGAATAGGGAGGAAATGGGTCGAGTTATTTTATTGAGTTATAACTTCCATCAAAAAAATAGGCAGAAAAGGGAAATGAAACTAAATCAATTGAAATAACTTAAAATTTTTTTAAAAGATCACTTTTTCCTTTCCTTTCAATAAATTAACACTTGATATTTTCCTTTTCTTTCTTTTCCTTTTTCAATCCAAATAAAAATTCAGTATTTTTTTTTTCCTTCCATACTTAATAATTCAAACAAAATGGACAGAAATCACTTTCTTCTACTTTCATTTCTTTTTTTTTTTTTTTCCCATTGATATCCTTTCCTTTGCTTTGCCTTCCCTTCCTTCCATCCAAACGGCGCCTTAGCAATAACTTTTCTTCCAGTGTCCACGTGTATTCACGTGTTCTCTGCTCCCTGCCTACACTCCTCCCACTCCACTCCACTCTGAGCTTCCATTTTAAAAACGCAATTTTCAGGGAAAAAAATTATAAATCCTACAAACATATAATTTCAATAAATAAAATAAAATAAAGATTCAGAAGTTTAAATACATCATCGAATCCCTATGGAAGCTTTTTTCCTAGTTTCGGAGTTGGAATGGTAATTCAGATGTCTTCTCTTTTACAGATACCGACTCTTTTTCCTCCACCTCAGTTGTCACCGCCGGCCACCACCAACGCCCTCGCCGTACCTCCATTTACCGCCAAATTGACTCCGAACTTGACTAGCCGGAAAAAGTGTCTTACTGCAGTGTATTTCCAGAACGGCCGCGGCGGTGCGGTCGTCGTCGGTGAGGACTTGCCGCCTGACTACGAGGACTGGCATCCGAAGGAGGCTTCTGATTCTAGTAGCCGTAGAAGAGCCGGTGTGCTCCTCCATCCGACGTCGTTTCCTGGACCTTATGGAATCGGTGATCTTGGTCCTCGGGCCTTTCGTTTCCTCGATTGGCTTCATCTTGCCGGCTGCTCCGTTTGGCAGGTATATTCTCTACAAGTTTAGCATTTTAAGTCATACTGGTTATTGAAGCTTTTTCCTGAGAAAAATTCAGTGCTGGGAGTAGTCAATTGGGAGAAGTTGAGGCTCTGTTTGGATTGCTGTTTCTGTGCGTATTTTTTTTTTTCTTTTGCTGTTTCTGTAGGTTGTTTTTTTTTAATAAATTTTTATTTTTACTGTAGCACTTTTTTCAGATTAATGTCATATGAGTGTTTGGATTAAAAGAAAAAGCAGTGGTTGTAAAACGCAGGTATGGAATTTTCCAAGATATGTTTGAGCGTTTGATCATACCATGACCCTCATTTTCGAGCATTTCCATCGGAAATTTAGATATGTTGGCACTGGAGGCAGTCAATCATGAAAATAGGCTGATAAAGTTTTGACTTTGACAATACATGTGTATATAGTATATATTTTCAAGGTAAGGTTGACCATGTTTAAACTTTGTTAAGTTTTTTAAGGTATGAAATGAACTAATATATTCAATTACTCAGGAAAGTGACAAATTTGTTAAGAAATATCAGAGAAAGCAATGATTTTGGAGTGCTATCTCTAGTAATTTTCATTCTAGTAGCTTATAGTCTAGAAAGTTTTTTACTTCTAGTTCACATCCTTTTCGGTCCCAATACCTAAAGCAATATGAAAGAGTATGCCATAGCAGTTTGCTAGAAGATGTAGTACACTCTTTTGTATATAACTTTAGATTCCTCAACTCAATTTTGTGACTTCAGTTGATGAGTGGTTTGAGGTGTTACATTACATGTGTGGTTGCAGGTTCTTCCTCTAGTTCCACCAGGAAGGAGAGCCAATGAAGAAGGCTCACCCTATTCTGGCCAGGTGATTGTAATCTCAGTTTTTTTCCCAATTTCTATGAAGAAGCAAATATTAGGACGAGCAGTAAATAAGGAGAAGATCTAATTTGGGAAATTTAATCAGCATAAAGTTCTAAATTGTAATGTGAAAAGGCAGATTTTCTAGATGTCTTTCTTCTTTTTCCTATCTGGGAAAGTGAAATAAAATTTAATTCGTTCCAGAGAAGGATAGAACTTTTGTTTTCTGGAATGCATCCCTTAATCTCTCATCTGCTTTGAGTTCAGGACTAAGGGATTCATGTATATGCTTTTCTGTTTTATCATGTACACTCACATCATGAAACACATCATGACACCATGTCCATTTTCTTTCTGAGCTCCCTTACGACAATTAGTGGTGTAATTGAGTCTAGTCAAGCTCGAGTTTTACCATACTCGAGCTCAAACTCGACCACTAATAGCTATGATCGAGCTTGAGCTCATCAAGTTTTAAATTTTGCAACTTGAGCTTGACTTGCGGCATACTCAAGCTCAAGCTCAAGCTCAAGTTGAGCAAGTCACAAACCCAGGAATTTCATGTCTTAAATCTTAAAAAAAAGAGTTTTCACAGCCAAAAAAAAGTCAAGAAATTCCAAAACCTTAAAAAATTCAACTGCATATTCAGATTCATAGGAACCCAAAAGACGCACAAGAAGGTTCATTGTTGCCTATGTTCTCAAGAGTCCAGATCATCAGAAATGAGTGAAAGACCTTTTGTAAACCAAAATTTTGTCCTCATACAATTTTCAAAAATGAAAATACAGATAATAGAAATCTAATAGTACCTGTAAATCCTGTAGCACCCAGATCAGTAAAACGAACAATCATGTAGGTTTGCATTTTCTACTTTGGACTCTGATTATGAACCAAAGTACCAAAACCCAAAATCTAAAGCAACGATGACAAGACATGAGGGCAAGGGAGTGATGAAGAAGAGGTAATTAAGAGCATGAGATGCAGAGATCGGGGGCAAGAGAGTTAGTAAGCAGAGGGAAAGAGAGATGAGGGGATTTGGGGGTGGTGGTGGCTGGAAATTAACGAAAGCAAAGTGAGAGAGAAGGGTGGGGTGTGGTATACATGGGGTAGCTTTAAGAAGGATTTACAAATAATTTTTCACACACACACACACACACACACACACGCATATATATATATATATATAATTGATATGTATGAAGCTTGATAAGGCTCGCTAGTAGCTCGAGCTCGACTTGATTTCTTAATCAAGCTACTTGAACTCGAGCTCATGCTCGAGCTCAATTTTTATCGAGTAAAGTATTCTTTGAGCTGAGTACCAACGTACTCGCGAGTAGCACCCCTAATGATAATCCCTGTTAGTTATTGTGTAGCAATTTTTTCTTAAGCATGGAGGGGAAAAGCTAATTATTTGTTGTTTATTTTTGTTGTGCTGATGGTAACCTTGTTAATCATCATTTTTAGGATGCAAATTGTGGCAACACCCTTTTAATCTCTCTTGATGAACTTGTGGAAGATGGTCTTTTGTCGAAGGATGAGCTTCCTAAACCACTGTGAGGATTCTTACAGTATTGTTCTGGTCATCTTGATTTATTTCTCAAAGGTTGGAATTTCCCCTCTTTTTCTTTGTTCATGCAGAGATATCGACCATGTGAATTTCTCAACTGTTGCTAAGATAAAGGATCCATTGATAGAAAAGGTAAAAGTTCCCACATCTTTTCTGCTAGATTCCATGGTTTGGCATGAGTTATTGGCTCTTGAGTGACTTTAAGGGTATGTTTATGAAACCTAAATTGAACATTACTGTTGAAAATGGAGGAAATGTTTGGGCTTACTTTATATTCCTTTTTCAAAGAAGGCCTCAGGTTTGCACTTTGATGGGGCCTAACTTTTTCTTACTCAAAATATGGTGTAAAGCCATTTGATGGCTGTGTACTTGCTCAAACGATTACTACAGAGCTTGGTTTGTCTTCTCTATCTGGCAGCTAGAGTTGATTCAGAAAAAGAATTCAGGAAACAAAATAACTAAGAAAATGGAAACCTAAATGGTATGTATCCCCCTTAAAGTGAGTTGTATTCCATTTTAACATCAAATAACTTTCAGAAGATGAGGCTGAATCTAGAAATAGTGCTGTGCAGTTGTGTATAGACTGAAAGATTATTTAGGCGTTTATCCCTGGTGCTCTGCCTTTTATGGTTCTTCAGGACAAGAAACTTTTATTCACAAGTAGCAAGGTCTTATGGACCATGAAAACCAATCGCTATTTGGTAATGCAAATTATGCTTATGGATCACAATTGAAACCCAGAATTAGTAAGTAAAGTTCAGTTCCAGCACTGTGCAATTTTGCATTTAACTCTTCTTTGTACTATACTAATTCTGAACCAATCTGATAATTTCAGTCTTTGTTCTCATATACCCTTTTTTTACTTGCTTTCTGATTAGGCGAGCAGTATATGCCCTTCTCTAGCCTGGCTAAAGCAGCAAACTCTAGAGCTAGGGCTTTGTTCACCTTTGGACACGAACATTATTCCGTTCTCAGCGGAAACCCACCTTACAAATTGAACGGCAATAAGATAAGCTGACCTTCAATCTAAGACAGCGCTGAGTGCTGATAGCTTGTAGTGAAAAGCCCCCTTATGAAACCAGTTGAAAGCAGCCTTTGGTACTTAAGTAGTTAAGGTTTGGAAACCCCCCCCCCCTCTCCCCCAAGCGGCTAGAAAGCTGTAACTAAAGGACTTTCAGTTTGAATAGGATAGCATAAAGTGTATTTGTACGAATGGAAACACTCTGTCAAAAGAAGCTCATGCTAACCTGCTTCAACTTTATTCTCTAACTTTTTGGCATGTTGAACTAATTGTACTTGGTTAAAAGTTATATGAAGCACGGGAAAACAAAGTCAAAAGAAAATGGATACAGATAGGAGACGCACAAGAAACCATGCTAAGCAGTTTTTGGGTTCTGTGTTCTTTCAGATTCTTAGTGTAAAACTTTTTCTGTATTTGTTTTATGCTAAACCTTGGCTCATGGAACAATTGGCAACTTTAAGGTGCAACAAATGTTTTTGTGCTATATTTTTCTACTGACTCATTTTTTTCCTTATGTGTCTGTGTATTTTCGCTGTGCGATTTGTTTATCATTTATACATTCCGCAAACCAGAACTATATTTTACTTACATGGGGACTCTTCTCCACATATGTACTTAGGCTGCAAAGAGGCTTATTTTGAGTGGTGGTGAGCTCAAAAGTCAGCTTGAGCGTTTTCGGAAGGATCAAGATGTTGCAAGTAAGTGGCATATCCCTTTGTGAATCATTTTTGTATCAAGCTGAGAAGCAACTTTGTGATATCTCTGATGCTCTTACTCTAGTTTGCACTCTAGTTTAGACTTTTGTTGGCAATGGTAGTGACAAGTACTAGTTATGGAAGACAGTGGGGATTATGATTTCCCCTTTCCTAATGCAGTACATCTGCCAGGCTTCTGGTCAGGATGACATTGATTTTAAGGACTTCGAGGTATAACTTTTCTTTTCCTTGTGTCCCCGTACAAGACAAACCCATAGGTATGTTTTGGTTTGGTCAGTTGTGTAGTGTTTTATTTAGTTGATTGGTGGAACTTATTTTTGTAGTGGTGCTTTATACACTGAAACAAAATGGTTGAATGTGTCATAATTTTAACATGTTGCCTGACCTTAAGCACAGAGAGTTTCCTATTCTGCATTATCTAAGCCAATCAATGCTGTAAGTTTTCGGTCTTAGCTGCTTTTGCCTTAGGACATTTTGGAATGTTCCTTCAGTTTACTTTATCTATTCATGAGATACAATTTTGCAACGAGAGAGACGCTCCTTATATTCCATTTGGACATGCAAATACCAATATTAGCCGTACACTTAACAAGCAGTTATGCAATACTCGCAGGCTTTTGGTAATTATGGTCCTCACTTAACAGGTTGGCTTGAAGATGCTGCATATTTTGCTGCTATTGATGATTCTTTAAATACTTTTAGCTGGTATGATTGGCCTGAACCACTGAAAAATCGCCATCTTGCAGCATTGGAAGAGATTTATCAAACTAGGAAGGATTTTGTATGGTCCATCTTAACTTTCCAGTGCTTTCCTGCCTTATGCTTCTTTTAGTTGTCAAGACTTGATTCTCAACTACCTTGTGACGATTAATATTCACTTTCTTGCACAGATTGACATATTTGTCGCTCAACAGTTTTTATTCCAGAGGCAGTGGCAAAAAATTCATGATTATGCTCACAAGAAAGGAATTAGTATAATGGGAGACATGCCAATTTATGTTGGTTATCATAGTGCAGATGTTTGGGCAAATAAGAAACAGTTTTTGCTGGTTAGTCATTATTTGATAAAATATTTTGATCTTCGAAATTATTTTGACAAGGTTCTAAAGGCTATTCAACTTCCTCTAACTTCCTATACATGCTATGACAGAATAGGAGTGGTTTTCCTGTCCTAGTAAGTGGTGTTCCACCTGATGCTTTTAGTGAAACCGGTCAACTTTGGGAGAGGTACTATTGATTCCATAACTAGTGTGCAAGGATGTAAAGATATCTGCCTTTCATATTAATGCTTTTCAGGGAGTATAATGTTATTATGGATTATATTTGAACACTAAGACCATGCTTACCAATAATTTTCAATAACTCATTCATCTAAGATTGATCATTTACTATTTGCTTAATTATTCTACTCCTACATTAGTCAAGTGATCATCATTCTCGAACATTTTCAAGTGCTTTAGTGTTTGGTATTTATCAGAAATAAGTATTTAGCATTTGCAGCTGGCTAGTCGCGAATGTAATGCTTGTCAGAGATGCACATGCAGATTTAGCAGTGCATCTGTGATTCTTGCTTCAGACTCGTGTAAAAGCTTCTACACCGTTTGATAGTAAGGTTAATTTTAAAAAAGGCCCTTAGTATCTATTGTTCTTCTATGGATGGAAGTAATAATGATGAAAAGTGTGAAAGAAAAATATTTTGGTGACACCGCTAAAAAAAATGATAGTATCCAGCTATGGTTTGTTTGCAGTCTGTGCTGTAGGGGATGATTCTTATAGAAGGTTTTGGTGGCCTTTCCTTTGAAGTTCTTTACCAATTAGTGCACGTAAAATTTAGATACTTTTGCTGAAGGAATTTAGTCTTACCATACACCTTTTACTTGATTTAGATGTGGAAACATATATCCACTGATTGCAGTGAGAAACATGTTAGAATGCCTTAGTTTTCTTGGATCTGAAATGCGTTGCTATTTTAAATACCATGGAGGGACCTTGTTGTATGATGAGAGAGTGCTTTACTGCTTATATGCTTAGCCAGTGTGTTTTGGCAGGTTCTTGAAGAGAGAGAAATTAGTTTACCTGTTTTAGAATTTAGCCTTATGAAACAATAAGATCTGCACCTATTGAAGTTATAAAGCAATAGAGGTAGTTCCCTTCTCTTAGTGGTTTTGGTGGTGGTTCTACTCTAAATCTCTCTTTGACATTCTTTGTTGATTTTGGACTATCTTTAATTGACAAAATATAAACATTAGGCGGTAGCTTTCATTCAAATATGGCTTGAGAGCATGTATAGAATTTGGAGAAAACAAATGATCTCTAGTCTTGTAGATCATATATTTGACTTGATTATTAACTATGAGCTCTCTCTGTAAAGCCCCCTATATGATTGGAAAGCCATGGAGAAGGATGGATTTTCTTGGTGGATACGCCGCATTAGACGGGCTCAAAATCTGTTTGATGAATTTCGGATTGATCACTTTAGAGGATTTGCTGGCTTTTGGGCTGTTCCTTCTGGTGAGGCCATTTTCAGTTTGCTGAATTTCTGGATTGTCTGAATATCTTATTGAACTACCAATATTTTGTGTCATGCCACTTATGCAGAAGCAAAAGTTGCAATGGTAGGAAGATGGAAGGTCAGATCTTTTTATCAGTATTTTTGGTTTTACATTTTCTTAACTATTAAAAGTAGTCACTGTGATTGTTTTTTAATTGCTGGTAGGTAGGACCTGGAAAACCTTTGTTTGATGCCATATTCAGAGCTGTTGGAAAGATCAATATTATAGCAGAAGACTTGGTATGTATGGGAAAAAAATTGGTTCGAGAGAGAGTGTTTGGTCCAAATTTAGCTTCTTAAGGAAGACACAATGTGTGGTGCAAATTATCCCCAAAGTCAACTCTCATTAAGGCTCGTTTGGCACGTTTTAGGCTCGATTTTCTCGCGCGTTTGGTTCACTAGTGCACTAAGCCTCTAATGCATATATATTCATGTAAATATTCTTCACTCTTAATTGTCCCGAAATAAGGGTCTAAAGTCCCTCAAATGAAGTCGCGCGTGTGAAAACGCGTACCGTCAAATTTTAACGCTATAACGCGAAACCTCCGAGAAATTCTTATAACGATTGCACTACTAACTATCACTTGAGTGTTTATTCATAATATTACCTATTTTAGAACCACAGTACAAGTTTCCAATATTCCAAACTTATTGTGTTTCTACGCGGTAAAATCTCCAAGCACTATTCACTATTTTTACTAAACGCACTCCAAGAAATTAATTTTTGAAACGAGTCACTTTTAAAATATAACGAAGTTATATTATCATGTATTTAGGTCTAATAAGTCTAGAAAATATTTCTCGTGGCAAAAATCCAATTAAATAATTTATTAAGCCATAAATTTAGGTTTAAATAAAATAATAGTTTTTACGAGTCCTCACATGAGTCGAGTATTAACTCCTCAAATCTCCAATAATTGTATCCATACATCTTTTGGAAAACTATCCACGCGTGAGTAGTATATGCTCACTTAGAACTTATTCACCTTTAATTCTCGATTAACTTTTCTTAATCTGCTATTGTCCGTTCTTAATTTCCCAGGATAATCATACTTTCGAATATAATATCACCTCGAAACACTCGTGTTCACTATTTCTCGCCTAACCAATCCTTCCGAAAATTGAAGTTGTTAACAGGACATTTTAAAAACATAATGAAGACATTATTCCATACGAATGGATTTAAAATGGTCGTAATAAATTATTTGGGGAAAACAGGTGGATAAATACTTAATTAAACCATTAATATTCGATAAAATAAGAAATTTTTCGGGTCTTCACAATTTACTGTTCAACGCAATTTTGATCCCTTAGGCCATGCGCCTACCTGATTATTCATGAGAGTTCTAAAGATTCGGCCAAAAAATCTTATAGAAGTAGCCCCATTGATTAAATACAACATCCTAAAGGACTATGAATTCATTAAAAGCAGGTCATCCACATATAAGCTAATTATCATATATTGATCATTTATAACTTTTGCATATACACATTTATCCACTTCTATAGTTGAAAATCCTTCTCTTACCAAAATTTGATCAAATTCCTCATACTACTGTTTAGAAGCATGTTTTAGACTATAAAGAGATTTAACTAATTTACAAACATTATTTTCTTGTCTAGATACAACATAACCTTCACATTGAATTATATAAATTTTTTCTTCTAAATTACCATTTAAAAAGACTATATTAACATCCATTTGATGAACAAAAAGTTTATAAATAGAAGGCAAATTAAATAAAATACGAATGGAGGAAACTCTTGTTACTAGTGCAAATATGTCAAAATAGTCAATATTTTGTTTTTGAATAAATCCCTTTGCTACTAAATGAGCATTATATTTTTCTATAGATCCATCAAAATTATATTTTTTTAAAAAAATCATTTGCAACCAATAGATTTTGCACCAAGAGGTAAATCTACCAAAGTTTAGGTTTTATTTTTCATAATAGAATCGATTTTAGATTTAACTGCTTCTTTCCAAAACTTGCAATCAAAAGAAGAAATAACATCAGAATAAGTTAAAGGATCATTATCAACAAGAAAAGTTTAAAAATCATTTCCATAAGAGAATTCTTTTCTCGGCCTTTTACTCTTTCTCAATTTCTCAATAGAGGTTATTTCTCTATTTATTTCAACAGGTGGATGAGAAATTTTATTAGACAGTAAAAAAATATGTTCAAAGAACTCAGCATTCTTTGTCTCAATAATTGTATTACAATCAAGTACACCACTTTTTAGAACAAGAAACCTATATGCAGTATTATGTTCAGCATATCCAACAAACATACAATCAGAAGTTTTAGAACCTAACTTTCTTTTCTTAGGTTCAAATAATAACACTTTAGTAAGACACCCCTATACTTTTAAATATTTTAAATTTGGTTTATAATATTTTTCATAACTCATAAGGTGTTTTACCAATTTTTTTATGTGGAATCTTATTTTATAGGTGATACGCAGATAATATAATTTCTCCTCACAAATTATCAGGAGCATGAGAACTAACTAATATAGAATTCATCATTTCTTTCAGTGTCCTATTTTTCCTTTCAACTACTCCATTAGATTCCGATGAATAAGGAGGTGTTTTTTATATATTATACCTTCATGTTCACAAAATTTATCTAAAACTCAATATTCACCTCTCTATCAAATCTAATTCTTTTTATTTTCTTATTAAATTGATTTTTTACTTCACACTTATAAGATAAGAAGACATTATGAGTATCATCTTTATTTTTAAGTAAGTATAGTTTGGTATATCTAGAATAATCATTTATAAAAGTAACATAATATCTTTTACCACCTCTAATAATTGTTTCTTTCAAATAACCTGAGTCTGTGTGAATTAAATTTAATAATTCGGTTTCTCTTTGAACAGTTATATAACTTTTCTTTCTTATTTTAGTTTTTGTACATATTTCACATTTTTCCATGTCATTATTATTAACATTAGAAAGCAACCCAAGTGATTGCATTTTTTTATGTAACTAACATCAAAATGTCCTAATCTAGCATGGCATAAAAAAATTGAATCAACAATACAAGCAAAAAAAGAAGTATTTTCATTGATCACATGAAAAATGTTAAGTGCAAAGAGTCACTGGTTACAATACTCTTTGCCCACAAATATATTATTTTTGATCAATACAATCTTGTCAGATTAACTTTTCCTAGCAATGCTACCGAAATCAGATTTGCCCAAATATTCGGCACATGTAACACATCATTGAGGGCCAAAGTTTTTTCCAAAGTGAGTTTCAAGAATACTTTACCCTTACCCAAAACTTTAGGAGTTCATGAGTCTCCAAGGTAGACTACCTCTTCATCATCCCCTATTAGAGTATAGGAAGAAAATACTTCTTGATTTGCACATATGCGCTGAGTAATTTCGGAGTCTATCACCCAATCTTTCACATTAGCTGCAATGTTGGCTTGAGAGATGATTCGACTAAATTAACCTTAGGAGGATTGGCATTTGCTTTGTCACCTTTCTTTTTGTACCTACACTGAGCAGCATAGTGTTCTGGCTTTTCACAAACATAGCAATTGCCTTTCTTCTTCTTAAAGTTGGGATTATTGGCTTGTAACTTTGGGACTTTTTAGAATACCTCTTGTTGTTATTTGTACCATATTAGCTTTGAGGGTCATCTCCTTGGCTTTGGCAGCTCTCAACTCTTCCTATTGAAATCTTCGATGATGATGTGCTTCACGAGTTCCTCAATGGTGCAATTCTTCTACTTGTGCTTCAAATTATTTTTGTAGTCAGTCGATGACTCGAGCATCTTTTCAATCAGCATGCCAACAGTAAACTTCTTGGGCAAGTTTATGTCTTTATTTTTCAAGTCTTCAAGTAGCATTTGGTACTCCATGATTTGAGCTTTCATTTCCTTGTCATCTGACATCTGCCACCAGTAGTATTTTCGTATTACAAATTTTTGTTTGGTTGCATCTTCGATAATAAACTTTGTTATCAAAGCTTCCCAAATTATTTTGGCTTCCTTACAGTTAGAGTACACATCAGACAATTCATTAGAAAGCGTTTGTAAAATAGTATATCGACATACCTTATTGGCATATTGCCATGCCTCTAATGTCTTGATATCAGCAGTTGCAACTGGTTGAGAATCAATTAGTGCATGGGCTACTCCATGAACGTCCAGCAGAGAGTGCACATGTTCTTGCCACCTTTTGAAGTTTTCATTAGCGAAAACTTCAATTTTGGAGATATCTAGAAAAGGCTTAGCGAATGACAACGCGACTACAATCGATACTGATGATGGTGCAAAGTTTCTTAGACAATGCCATAGTTTCTTAGATTGTTGGAAAAAGGTCCAAACAATGCTAACAGAATTGCAGACGTGATTTAAGGAAGCTTCAGTCGTGCTTAATAGCAATGTCCTAAAAAACTATTTCAGAAAGTTAAAATGTTTTTCCATGATTAAGCAAGCCTTTTTCTTATAAACAAGGAACAGAAACTAGCAAATGTTGTATGAATCTAATAGAGAGGAGGAAAGAGAATAGAGAGAAAGTGATCTGCCAAGAAAATTGTATTTTGAGCTCTAAATGCACTTTCCAAAGGTGGGAGCAGCTGGCATTTATAGGCGTCAAAATAATATGTTGGAGAGGATAGGGATAAAACTTTATGTAATAAAAAAGTTGTGCCTGATTTTTTGTAATAGAAAGGAACGTTAACAAAAAGAACATTTGTAACAAAAGATAAGATCTTATCATCTTCAAGAGATAAAATCTTATCTTCTTGGTGGAATGAATCAAACTTTAATAAATTCTACAACTTCTTGCAAAATATAAGAGTAGTAAAACTAACTTGGGCCGTGTTTAACCCATATGCAGGGGGTGTAAATCCATTAGTTTGTACTGAATAGGCCCAACTCAACTTTCCTCTTATGCGCGCAACCCCACATTAGTTGTCAATTTAACACAAGCCCGATATGAAACTAAGCATTATAAAATGATGAGAAGTCTCTTGAGTTTTTCAATGTGGGATAAAATTTTTTGAAATACTCATTTATTTACAACATATATTATGCATAAAAGTTACGATTACCACAAATGAGCTTGAAAGCAGTGTGCATCGATTTGATAGAAGTCATTACTAGTTTTGTGCCTAATTCTTTTTTTTTCCAAATGATAACAGACTTTCATTAGAAACATAAAATGTTTATACATCTAGAGCAACTGCTCCTACATCATTTTTCGCTAGGCTACTTAACCAAACTGGGAAAGATACTTTCCAATCAAATTCATTTGTTAAGGTTATGGAAAACTTTGCCAGGTTATGACTAACAACATTCCCTTCCCTTCTAATAAAAAAAGTAGTTGTTGAATTTCTTACTAAGCTTTAATATATCCTCCAACATTGCACCTGTCAAAGAATCACCTGTACTTTCTTCATCTAGCTTGTCTATCAGTCTTTTGCAATCAACTTGCATTCCCATATTTCTCCAGCCCCTCTGCAATGCCTTCATGAGAGCATTTTTTTTATTGCATTTGCTTCTTCCACAACTGGTTCATTGCATCAATTAACATGTCCAACCCAAACTTCAACTAGCTCCCATTCTCCTTACTAGCAACTACTCCCCATTCCGCTCTCTTCTTTTTTATATCCAATGAAGCATCAGTATTCAAACAAATGAATCATTGAGGTTGCGGGCTCCATCGATTCTTTCCCTCATTAGCTCTTCTTCTTTCCTCCTCCGTGTCCTTACCATTTGAGTTTGCCTCGATATATTCCAACCATTCTTGTATTGCTTTGTCAATGGTTTTGCCTGGACATTTCTTTTCTCTTTGGAACTGCATTTGATTTCTGGATTATTTGCCAAAGTATGTTTGTGGTCAGGGCTATATGGTCCATTCCCTCAGTTCTAATCCTTGCCTCCATGATGCCATTCCACCCATGGTTCACCATCGTGGTTTCGATCGCGGTTGTGAGCTCAGTTGTTTCACATCAGTCGCTGCATATCGGTCACAAATCGGGTGATATGCATATTTTCACTATTTATATTTTTCAAAAATTCTAAAAAATTATTAAAATAGAAAATGGTGTAATAAGCACAATAATAAAATTATAATTGTAAAATATCACGATCAATAAAACCAATCACTAATTCTATAAAAAAAAGTTATATTGTTCTTGGAAAAAAAAAAGTTATTCAGTAACATCAAAGACAACAAATATGCATTCGTTGCAGCCTAATGAATTACCTAAGAATTATAGCAGAAAATGGAACCTCCAAATCTCTTGGGCCTAAATTTGATGTTTTCTATGCATGGGCTTCTTCTTGGCTTGATTGGGCAATAAACTATGGCATTCATTTCTTACATTCTCTTTTATTTATTTTTATTAAATGCAAAAACATCAGCACTGTTGTCCTTTTCGTTCTCTTATCTAGAGTCTTCAAAGTACAAATTTTCTGTTCTCTAGCCCTCCACTCCATCTTTCCCTTCTCCTTTCGCTTCCTTTCATAATCAAACCATGAAAGAGCTCCTAAAATCTCAATTGACCTTTCGAAGATCATATCTTTCAATTTACTTTCATAAAAAATCCAAAATGATTGAAGTAAAATGATTTTGGTGGAAACATCCATTTGCTCCAAAACATTCATCTCTTTCTCTGAGTTTTGGTGAGTTTCTGGTGATTGAGTTTGTTTACTTGTATTTTATATGGATTAGGTCTAGATTTTCCATTTTTTTTGTTTTAACTTGATTGTTGCAAGTTTGTGGAAAAAAGTTGGAGATTTTTCAACTCCCGAGTTGACTCACCGAGACTCAGTCAAGTCTCCCTGATTTTGTATGCTTCAAAGTCAACTCAACCGAGTCAGTCCGAGTTCCGGCACTTTATTGGTGATTTGCATTTTGGGTGTCAATATTATAGCAACGTGGACTGATCCGGTTATAAATCATTCGAGTCAACTCTGACTCAAACAATTTGGCGAACCATGATTCCACTAGAGCCAGAATTTGTTTCTGAATTCATATAAGCCATCCTATTGAATTGGAGCTGCATTCCATATTTGTTTTGCATGCCTGCAAAAGAAAAACATGTGTTCTAATGTTTTTGTTTCTTCTCCACAACAAAAATATCTGTCCTCCCATTTACCTATCCTATTTCTAACAACTACATTACAGGAACAATTCC